GGGGGTGGGGGGTGGGGGGGTGTTTTTGTTTTTCCTTGGCCTGTTCTTTTTAAATGAATGGTTCTTTTTACAGTAAGGCTAGAGGATGGTGATTAGATGGATATTCAGTATAATCTCCATGTGCAGATTTACTGGGGAGTGCAACAGGGACTTCAGTACCCTGTTAGTAGTAGTGGATGCCATATGTGTTTTGACATAATGGGATGTGATTGTATGACTCCATTCTTGCCTTCCCAAGGAGATTGGGTTTCAGGTATCCTTGCCTCCGAGTGACTTGACCAGTTCTTGTTTGAAAGTGCTGGTACTAGATGCTATGTAAGCTGTAAGCAGTTATGAAAGGAAGAGTATTTTATTTCTTTTTTACTGGATTAAGCTGCATTTTGCTACCTTTGAAGCTGTGAAACTCCTATTTAAGAATTTGATCTACCATATTTTTGTATTAGCAACTATGAAAAGTAACTGAACAACTTGTTTCCCGATGTTAAAGCTGTTACAATTACCCTCGGTGTATCGCTATATTACTACTAGTTACGCTGTTAGTAAAAAAAATAGTGTGCCTGAGGCAGGTTTTTTCATATGTATTTCTAAGTCTGATTAAAAAGAAAATTCTGGTTTGCGTTTTGTAATCTTTATTTTACCCTGTAATGTTGAAAAGCGCGTTGAAAGCATAGAACTCTGCAAATACCACAAAGCTGGGCAGGGTACAAGAACGTAGCCATATAAAGACAAGAACTTTATACTCTGTTCAGTAGTAGACCAGCCAGAACTTATTATTGTAATCTGAAATAGAATAGTAGAGATTTTTGTTGCTTCATCAAGGGGCCATCATGAAGCTGTTACTCCATCCTCATTTTCCATCTGAATCTGTGTGCCCTAACATGCTCAAGTAACTCTCTAGGCGTGGATCGCTGAACAATGTTATACATTATCCCATACCAGATGATCTTAATGGTCCCCTTCTGTCTGGGCCTGTGCGTAGATGGGTGTAAGAATGGATTTTCTGGCTTTACACATGCTGAGAACTTGCTTATGCCCCAGACTAGTAATAAGAAGTCCCATCTATATAAGCTGTGCAAAGGGAGTGGGGGAGAGATCTGTCCTAATACATTTAACAATATGAGTTATCTTATATTGCATATGTAACTATCAATATGTCATCTTAACCAGGCTGTGGAAAGCCTTTCCATCAGATGTCTCTAAAATCAGACTATTTCAAATCTTTCATCATTCAGAAGCTGCTTTCTCAGAGAGTGCAAATTAGAGTTACAGCTTAGAAGACCACTGATTACAGTTGCAATAGGGATTTTGCCACAGATTTATGAAACCCATCTGTCCTGACCAAAGGAGAGCAATTCAGCTAGTAAAATATAAATGGAAACACTATATGTGGCTGCTTTTTTGTAAGTTATAAAAAATAATTTTATAACATTTAGAATAGTTTTAATGAAAAAAATCCTGATGTTTAGATGTCAAATACATGACAGTGTTGGAAACAAACAGGTAAAATACAGAATATTACTTCTAATTAGTTTGCTTTACTGTTTGCTGGCTAATCTGTGCTTGTGTACTAGCTGGCCAGTAAGCAGAAACTAATTTTCACGCCAGATGAACCATGTGCTGCTTTTTTCATGTGCAATCAGTCACATGGGATGGGAATGAAGACGTTTTGGTATAATACTCAGGGACATTAGAGTACTGTTAAAACTTTGTAGAGGTGATCTGGCTTGACAGTGCATTGAAGATGCAGGAAGGAGCTGGTGGTTTTGTATGTGATGAGACGTGATGAAACAGGGTGATGTGCACTGGTTGTAGGCATTCCCGTGGCAGGGATTGCAGCAGTCACAGGGAAGATTTGGCATTCTTGCTGAAGTATATGAGAGATTTCTAAGGGTATCAGGCTAGCTTTGCAAATTGAAGATCCCTTCTTTTTACTTGTATTTACTGCATTAATATAGTTGCATTATACATACCTTGAACAAGGGGGGAAATTTTCACATATAAATCTAAATTAAAATGAGAGTATGAGTTAAGGTTTTCTTTCCTTAAAAGAAATTTTTATTTTTAATCCCTATTTTTAAACGCAAATATAATAAGCTGTGATGACTGTATCATCAGGAAACCCAAGATGAACATAAGATCAGCTGCTGTAGCAAAGTTTTATCATCTATGGCTGTGCAAACACTGTTAAATACCTTTATACAGTATGCTTTTCTGGTGGTTATCTACAGTGTGTTAATATTTTACTGATAGGCCTCCATTTTTATTAATTTAGGAACAAAAAGATGCATTAATCCTATTAGAAAATATTAAATACATAATATATAATCTAAAATAGAAATAAACAATGGGAACAGGTTTTAATAAATCTTATAATTGACTTAATATTGAAAAATAATGCACATTTTTAATATCATTCCTTACTATGGCTTGAATTTACAGATTTCGTAGTACAACTACTTTAAAAACGAAGCTCAGTATTTAGGATAATGAAAGCATACATTTAAGTAAATAAGTTCCAATTTTTTTTTTACTACTTTCAACATTTGAGCTATTCCTTTATCCTACTTGTTTTCGTGTTTTTAGACTTGAAATATGCCTCACTGGAATAAGTACTGAGGGTAATGATATATTTCTAGTTGTATTTTCTCCTTATATGCTCAGTATTTGATTATGTACAAGATGATAGCATACATTGCTTTTCCTACATCTTTTACTAGTCAAAAAATGTTTTAAAAAACCTCTCAGCTTTATAGAAGTGGCATTTTTATCAGTGATGGTTATTGTACTTTTTACTTCCTTTTCTGTGAAACTCAGTGTTGCAGAAAAGCTTCTGTGGAGATGGTGAGTGGGAAGAAGGTCTAAGATGTGTACTTGTAGATTTTATGTTGGGATTTCTTAAGTGACAGTTTGTCTTGTTTCTCAGCCATATTATGTCTGAGTATGTGAGGATGACAGATACAGAGCGTGATCAGATAGATCAAGATGCTCAGATATTTATGAGGACGTGTGCCGATGCCATTCATCAGCTGAGAACAGAAGGTAAACTGAGCAACTCTTAAGTGTTTCTTCTTAGTTATTGATAAAGGCTAATATAATGCTGAATCTTGGATGGTGAATCTGAAATGCTTTTGGAAAGAGATTGGTGAAGTCTCATTGCCTTTTTGTTTGCATCTGTGTAATCCCATTGGCTGATTAGTGCTGTACTTAATTTTCTTTAATGTTAGTGGAAGGAGAAGCCAGAGCATAGAATTTTATTTATTTGTTCAAATACACTAATTAGCAAGTGTAAAAAAAGATAGTCTTCAATATTTACTACTTGAATAGTAAGTTAGCACTGTGGCCCAGAGGCCTGAACCGAAGCTCACTAAATTCAGTGGTTGTCTCTTTCTAGCTCGTCCACCTGTAAGGTATTACAAGTATAATCTTTCCAAGTTTGAGATAATTAAATAAGTTTAACAGAGTCCTGGTAAAGTAACAGAGTTTTTGACAACTTGAGTATGGGATCATACCTTTACAACACTATCTTAAGAAAGTTGTAGAGAGAACTTCTGTTTTGCCATTTTCAAGTTTACTTGCTGTATGTGTGTTTTATCAATATACCAAAGATTTTCATCAGCTTTGGAATGCCATCTAAACATAGTTGTAGCATTATTTGAATCATTGAAAATGTCATTCGTGGGAACTACATAGTATCAAAATAAGAAATATTAATATATGTGAATTAAAAGGATGCTTGACACAGTAAATCCCAAAGATTTCCACCTAGTCTATACACTGGAAAATTTAAAATGTTAGAAGTTCAATAACTTAAGCAAGTTAAATCTCTAGATCTGTTTTGCTATGCTTAGCTTGGTGACATCTATTCTTGTTTAGAAATTTAATTGACATAATATGATGCATATATAACAAACCAATAACATAAATATTGTAAGACACTAGTTGTTTTCAGCTTTTGGTTTGTTGTAATGATTTACTGTTTTACAGAACCTATATTTAAATATAGCTATGTTTAAAATAAATACTAATATATAACATATATAAAATGTTAATAGGCTCTTGAATATAACTTGCGTATCAACTGAAAACACAAACTTTTGTGCAATTCAGTAAAAAGTTAAAAGTTGTGTTATATCTTTCTTTTGTATTTCAGCACACAAGGGTGTCCAGTCTGCTCAGGTAAAGGAGCACAGAACAGCTGTCTTGGACTTCATTGAAGATTACTTAAAAAGTACTTAGTATTTATTAAATGGTTAAAAATGAATGACTGTACTTTCCAAGAAAGAAATCATGCTCTTCTAACCTGAAGTTTTGTTTACTGTTTATCTTAAACAGGAGTATGTAAGCTGTATTCTGAACAAAGAGCCATCCGAGTTAAGCGAGTGATAGATAAGAAGAGACTGTGAGTAGTGTCAAAAAATAGTTTAACTGTGCCTTTTGTTTGTAGGACATTCAGCAAAACTATTATTCATGTTTAGATTCTAAGGAGATTGTTTTAATGGGAATCTGTAGTTGGATGAGCAACTTCTGCTGTCAGCAGGTGCATTCCAGGGCTCTTTTACACTTCTGGCACGTGAAGTTACGTTGGTAAATGGCAGAGTGCCAATATAGTGTTGTACTTCTTATTTATGTAAATTATTAAAGCACCAAATCAGTAAAATGGGTTAATAAACCTATTGGACTTCTACAAATGCAAGAAAATATTTTTGTGTGTCCCATTAAGTAATATACTGCATAAAATAATTTAGAATTAAATCCTGCAAATTGGTAATATGCCTCAAAGACGCTATTTAGGATACTGTCTGTTTAGGTACAGGAGATGTTCACTTCTCTCTCCCGTTCTCTTTCTTGTTGTCCCCCTTTTTTTTTTTTTTTTTAAGCCACTGTCTTTCTGCTAAAGCAAGTGATCATGTTGTGAATAAATGCTACTTGAGATGGTGGGTCTTCATGGCAAGTAGAAACATGATTAAAATAAGAAGTTACATTCAAGATTCTTTAACTGAAACAAAAGAGTTTCTGCTTCCTAGCGTGGCATGTGTTCAGGCTGCTAACGTAGAGGTGAAAATGTCTAGAAGAAGTTAAAGATGATGTGCTTGCTGGCTTTTTGGTCTTTTTTTTTTTTCTTTTTTCAGTCAAGTATCAAAAAAGATACTTTTTCAGTTTCTTTTTCTGCACGCTCCCAGGTGTAAGAATGACAGGGAGAATGAACAGGTTTGCAATTTATTTAATACCTGAAAGGCTTTCCATGTCTTCTCAATCTGCATTATTTGAATTCTAACCTTAAGTTCCATTATGTACGTTTTAATTAAAAAAAAAAAAAAACAAACTAGAACATACACATCAATAAATAAATTCTTGAGTGTTTTTCCAAGACTTGATGCTGTTTTATCAGTTTGGCGTTCGGCACCATCAGCTATTTACACTGAAACTAGAGAGATGTTTTCAAAAGTCTGTAAGTACATTTTATTCAGAGTGATTCAGCATGATTAAGCACAACTAGATTCACTCAAATATATCCTCCTGAGACATAAATAGCAGTACAAGCCAAAACCAAGTAAACAAAATACACCAAACTAGTTCTGAAATTTGGTAAGAAGCAATGAGAGAAAAGTAAGGCATTGGTATTCTTGTAACTCCCATAACTTCTCAGAAAAAACATACAGAAACAAACTGTGTGATATTTTTCATGTGTTTAAAAAAAAAAAAATACAGTATCAGTACTCTTCACGCCAAAGAACTTCAAAGAAAGATAGCATGGTTCCTGCAGTTATAGAATTGGCTAACAAATACCAGCTCTTGTTTGCTGTACTCTTACATTACTGTTTCCATGTGAAATCCCAGGTTCAAGATTTCTCAGATGACTAAACAGAGAAAACTACTCAATTTGATGTACGCTAAACATGGAGCAATGAAAGAGCTATTTCAGAAGTTAGAATACCACCTAAATAAAGAGCAATAAGGCATTAAAAAAATAACCCAGTAGATGCAGTCCTTTTATGTAATATTGGAGGATACATCTTTGCCTCTTTTTACGGATGTAAGAACTAGAAAACAGATGTTGGCCAGGTGGAGTCTGTATGCGTTGCAGATGTGATGTAATGGCTAAATTGTCATTTAAATTAAAATTCAATTTAAATAAATCACAGGGCATAAACCAATCTTTATGATGACTTGAAGAAAAATTGTCTTTTTTCATATGCCTTCAACTAGTTGATTCATAATTTCCCCAAGGATTTCAGCAGATGCTTTATGTGATAATAAGAATCTGTTCCATCACTTAAAAGAACTAGGCATTCTTTAAATAGTGCATCCCAGGCACTTTGTTCGTTTTTAATTGAAAACTTCGTACATTAGCATACTGTGCAAAGTAAGGACAACAAACACTAAAGGAATACATTTCTTTAGAAGTAAATTAATCCTAGTGCAGATCTTCTTTCCTGCAATTTAGTCAACTTAAAATATGTGCGTATCAGACAATACTGAAAGGTTTGCAGTAGAAATATACTTCATCATGTTTCCTTTTATACTGATAAACATCCTAAGCTCTTCAATAAATTGCCCGAGTGTTATAATTTTCTTACATAAGTTGCCTTTATGTATTAACTCATATTATTTTGATTAAAAAGTTCTGCCAATTACATAGGACTAGTTCCCCAGAATGAAAAGCTGAGAAATAGAAACACAAGCAGCTTTTTCTGTAAAGGTACTTGGTTGTGATTTTCAGGTTTTATGTTTATTGGTATTCAAAATTATATTTCATTTCAATTTTAACTTCTTTTTCCATTAGAATATCTTGTGAATTTTGTATGCAGTTATTCAAATAAAGCTGATATTTTTATTATCTGGGGAATTGGCGTTTTTATTAGTATCAGAACTATTATTTGAACTGCTTGGATATCCAGATAAGTCTTTTTTCCTCATTATTAGGCAAATTTGGGACTTGAGAGGGAGGAGACGAGAGGAGAAGGGTTCTTTTATGTAAAATTACCAAAATCCCAGTACTTGCAGAGTTTTTAGAACTAAGAAAGGTTCCCTGTTACTGTTTTTTCTTAGTCACTCAGTGATGACTAATGCATTATATTCTGTTTTTCTCAGAATTTTCTAATTATGGGTTAGAATTTAGACAGTGCAAAGAAGGAAAGGGACACAAAATGCAACACCTTCTGTTAAGCAGTAAGGGAAGATTGCAGATTGTAATGAGATTAACTGTTGATTATATTTGAGAGGGAAGGAAGTGATGAAGGTGGCACAGCAGGGATTCAGCCCACTGCTTTTTGGTTTTTTGTTCTTTAGCTTCTCTAACAGCATAATTGCTAAGCATTTAACCGTCTACTACGTAGCAGTTACAGAATTCATAGTAGGCAACAATAAACCACAGAAGCTTACTGGAAAAAATATGTTGCCGCTAATTTTAAACTTTTTTTGGTGTCACAGTGAAATGTACTTGACAAGTACTTAATATATAATCAGAGAATATGCTTCTCATTTTTTTGCATTGCCATTGTATTAAAATTACATAGCAGGGACTTAGGTGTAGTATATATCTGTCCACTGCATACGTTCTTTCTTTTCCTTGCTTCTAAATGGTCTATTGTGTCTTTTGGCAGACAAGATAAGGATCACTTTCATCCTGGTTAAACTGTTCTTTAAAGCTAGTTAACCAAAAATATTTGTTTCAGGGAAAAGCTAGTTCTATTGTATTTTCTTACTTTACGATAATTGACAATATAAAGTAAAATTGTAATTATTACTTGGGGGGGGGGGGGGGAAGTAGTGGTGTTGGCTATTGCTACTAAAAAGAATTTTCAGTATGACCAAAATGTTGGTTGGTTGGTTGTTTTAAATATATATTTTAATATCCTGGATTTTGAAAGGAAGTTTAATAAAATGTCTGTGTGTTTATGCTATAGCCTTCAAAATTCTCCTCAACTCTGAACACGTAATGTGTTTTGTTCAGGAGTGCTATTTGTGGTTTCTTTGCTTTTGTAATAATGTTTCAGTGAAAGTTGCTAAGTACATTTTGTATCTTGACTGGGAAATCTTTAATGTGACGTTTGCAAGAATTACAGTGTCGAATTTAATAATCTGTGGTTGTTCTCATTTTAGAGAAATTCAACTGTGTAATATCAGTTAAATTATAGGCTCTTGTACTTCTAGGTCCAGACTTGAACCTGAGCAGAGCAACGTGTCCAAATCACCTCTTTCTGCTGAAAAACCTTCACAGAATCCTTTAGATGATTCTGAAGAAAAACTTTCTGCTGAGGAAAGCAGCGGTAAGAATAAAACGTAGTTATATTTTACTTTTGTGGCAAGGCCTGTCTGGTTAATAGTACTTACTTCACATTACAAGGGCCTGTTCCTGTGACTTGCACCTTTTCTATTTTCATCTTCCCTCAGTTATCTTTATTAAAAGAGTAAAGTTCCTCTAGTTGGTGACTTTAGGGCCATAGAAAGGGTGGATTCATGTGAAGTGGGTACTCCATATCTGGATGAAGACTAATACTGAATTACCTCACAGTGTGAGAACGGTTTCATTTTCTGATATGGCATTGCTTATCTTCCTAACCAGTTTGTACTGCTGCAGCCCTATCACTGTGCTTCCCCGCCCCGGCCCCCGATACCGAATTTATTGTAAGAAATAAAGGTTTTGATTATGTGTCATTTCTAGTGCTTACTACGTTTTTACAGTGTGTCTTAAGTGATGCAGCACACAGGCACATAGATGAGTTTCACCTTAACACGTTATCAGTGTTTCACAGCTGTGAGCTAGTGCCAGCAGACAAGCGGCAGTGTAGTAGTATCTTCATCGCCCTGTGCTCTTTCCTTGTTACTGAATGTCTCCGCAATCTCTGAAAGTGTGCACTCCCACCACATAGTGTCATTATAATTTTTTAGCTCCAAAAATCTGTGCCACGCCATGGAAAATGTTGTTCTTTGGTTGCCTTGGACACAGCAAACCACTGCAATAAACAGAAATGAAGCTTTGTTTCTTGCACATTAATTTTGATTACTCCAGTTTTCACTTTTATTAGTTTATGCTTTAATTTTTTTTTATAAGAAAGTAGGGGTCTCATCGCGTAAGTGATGCTGATGCAGTACTTATTAGGGATTGCTGACTAGTCTTTCAGAAAACTATGAAACTTGTATATCAAAATAAATCTGTCTGAAACAGTTTGTAAATGCACACAGCCTGTGATTCCTCACATAAGTGTAAGTGTTGGTTGCTGCTGCTTACAGAAACCAGCCTTGTGACTTTGCTGGTAGGTGGTTGTCGAAGCATGGGAATAGCGTGAACGAGGTAACTAGGAAACAAGAAGCTCAGTTTAAATCTTGTAGTCTTTGATAATTTTTTTTCCAAGTAACTTTCCAAATTCTTAAGAAATTGGAGAAATTACTGTGTTTAGAAATAAACTATCTCATCCTCAAGATGTTGTTGGTTTAGAGAATGGTGATCATTTGTATTTATAAATTAGCCATCATCAGTGTGCCTGGGTCCCTTGCATAAATATCTCAGCTGTAAAGATAGTTTTTCTGAGAGCAGCTTGTGGTCCTGTCCTTAAATTGAACGTTAGGATGAACAGCTGAATGTCCTACTTGGTGTGCTGAAGCACAGCTTGGGTTTTGTCAGGTTTTTTGGCAGAAACCAAAGCAAAATGTGATTACTTTTGTTCTGAGGCAAAGCACCTGTTTACGTTACAATTATACTGGACATGCCTCATGGTAGGAAAATAGTCTTTCTGGAGATAGCTTTTATATGCTGACAGTATTTATTTGCATATTACAAACTCGACGTTTAGTTTATGGAAATAAATGTAAATAATGAGTAGCTTTTCAACTGGTCCACAAGCTTAGCAGCTGTCTCCTTTCAGCATGGAAAAGGGTTCAGAGGATTTGATCATTACTTTGTATCTCTGTCGTGCATCAACTACTTCTCTTTCTGCAAAAGAAATATAGTTTGGCTTTTGCTGGATGAATTGTAGAAAAGCATTCATGTCAACTCCATGAAAGCTGCAGGACAACTTTCCCAGTAGCCAGAAACATACTGCAGTGACAGGAGGAACCCTAGGGAGATATGTGTTTCTCACTTACCTCTTACCATAAGTATATTTGCTTATTAGCAATCACATTGGATACAGGTGCTGTTTTTTTAACAGTGCTGACAGCATCTGAAAGTAATTGGTTCCTCTGGGATAAAATAGGACTATATCTTATTTCTTGGCTCCATAAACTAATTATCTTCTTTTCTTTGAATCCAGTAAATAATTCATTATAATTTTGATATAATGTAAATACATTGATTACCTAAACAAATAAGTTTTGTGTTTCTGTGAAATAGACTTGAAATACTGATGATACTCCATGGAAAACATAGACTTGACTCCTTTCTAAACAGTCTTTAAAGATATTCTTGTTTTTACTTCTTATTGCTTGTAAGAAAGAACGGGGGGGGGGGGGGGGGGGGTTGTGGGTTGTTTTTTTTTTAATTTACTATATTCCTTATCCACATCCCTCATTTGTAGCATTGTCATTGTTTGTATATCCTGGTTTGGTTGCTGGGAAGCAAAATATACATTTATAAAGGAGACATACACAACAATACTCTTATAATATTTATTTTTCAAGAGTTTTCACAAATATTATAATGAAGGATAAAGGGGGAAATTTCTGCTTATAATCCTTTTCATCTATTTGTTCATAAATAGGACTATTCCTTTCAGAGGCTTCCCAAGAGAAGTCAGTATCTGAATGATGATGCATCACTGCTGCTTAGGCAATTGGAAAAAAATTAGGTTTAGAAGGTTATAACAAAACAAATGAAAATACTTACACATCCCTGAAAAAATTGACTGGGATAAACAGGAAGTCTGAAATCTATGAAAAATAAAAACTAAATCTTTCTGTATTTTAATTTGCAACCTGCATCTGATAAGTCAAAGCAGGTTCAGCTTTGATCCATTGTGGGGCGGTGCAAATCGCTCTATTGGGTTTTGTAAAAATGTCACAGCCAGTAGGGAGAAGAGAGGCCTTCTCAAGGGTGCAGTCTTATCGTTGGGATTTTAAACACTGATGCTAGAACAGCTTCAGAAACAGTAGGATCCTGTAGCATAGTTTCTTTTTTTTCCCATTCTAACTTCTTCGTCTATAATCAGAAGTATATAATTAAGCCTAAAAATAAATCTTCCAGAAGGGAATATCCCAGAAATAGCCGCTCAAGATCTTTTATGCCTGACTCCTGCTAAGATTTATGCAGATGATTAGCTTTAATCAAAGGGGAAGTACTATTGAAATCAGTGAAGCAGCTATGATGTGTAAGGGTTAGTTTGTGGGATCGGATCCGATTCCTGTTATATGCAGGAAGACCCCTTGTATAGCATGCTGTAGGATTTGCACCATAATGTGCAGTTTGAACAGCGTGAGGGAATCAAGTTTGTCCTGTGAACTTTGCTCAAAATATCTTTGAGATTCTGTTTTTACTTCTTGGAATGAGGAGCTGGTGGCTCTGCCAAGTCTCACTGGAAGATAATAGCTTGCATATAGACTGTCATTTTGAAAATTGTGTGTCGTCTTCTGTTAAAAGACAAGCGTTCCGGTATTTTGTGCCCTAACAAGTCTTAGTGCGTTGTGACTTGTTTTACATCCTTCACTGTCAATATATTAGGGCAGCTCCTCGTAGTTCACAAAATTAAACATACGCATAGACTTTTGACCCAGTTTAGAAGTTAAAGGTTATTGGTGTAATTTTGTGCTGTAAAGGTAGGGTCAATCTCAGTTAATGACAAGTGATATATAACAATTTCACAGGCATTCTGAAATGGTTGCAAAATTATTTTCACTTTACTATTCAGTGTCCTGCATTGTCTCAAGCGTTTGGTGGTTCTTTCACAGACAGGAATCTGCCTGATGCCCAAAGTAACCTTGGATTATGGGGGGACAGCAAAGGTGAAGATGAGCTGTCACCTGAAGAAATACAAATGGTAAGTGTATCTTGTGTCTTATTGTCCATTTTAGTATATTTTCTGCTGTATTCATATGTGTTAAGAAAGTACAGATTCACCCAAATTCATTGTCAGCTTTCATTTTATACAGAATAATGCCATAACAAGACATACCTTCTGCACATGGCTTCCTGGTTCTTCTGGTAGCAGCCAATATTTAAAATTGCTCACATGGAGCCATGAAATTAGTAACAACTATTTTTCAACAATTTAAATTAAAGTTGTTTTTAAAACTACAATTATGAATTGCTTGTTTAGTCAGGAAACAATAGAAGTCAAGGCAACATCAGAAACAGCATTATGAAACTTCTGAAAGAATGAAGTGTTGGCCATTTTTTACTTGGACTATTTCTAGAACACCTCTTAAACAGTTATACTATCTCAGTATAACTATGAAATTATACTTCATTTTTTCTTTTTTATTTTTTTGGATTATCAAAATCAGATCGGTTTACTAGAAGGAATAGCTACAAGCTTTCTGTCACAACAGAATCTCATGAATTTTACCTTTTCTGCATTTCCCCGTTATCGGCACATTTATGTATTGTTTGATCCAATTCTGCTTGCAGTTGAACTGATATACTACAAAATTTCTGACATAAGTGTGATCACTGACAACCTATCTGTTAGACTTTTTGATATTCCTAAAATTGATTGTTTTGAACATGGCTCAAAATTCTTAGAAAACCTCTCTACATTAGCACACATTGCCTTGTTTTATAAAGAAAGAAAAACTGATTTATAACTTGCCAGTAGATGTGCGGTTTTCAAAACGGTGAGCTTTACTAAGGCAAAGGGCTGCCGCAGTATGAATATGTGAAGCTTCCTTGGCAGTGATTAGAGATGTTCCCAAACACAATATGCATCACTCTTCCCGTTAGAGATGAGTAAGTTGCACATAATTACGGTATGGTTTGTCAAAGAGAAAAGGTTCTTCAGAGGCTGCTGTTGATGCTCTCATGTTGTTCTTGAGTGCCAGTCTGAAATCTAAAGGCTTGCTCCTGCTTTCTGTTTTCTTTTTGAAGAGAATTCTTTACGTATTTTCATTCTTCTGTGTTTAGGCACAATATTATTAGGCCCCTTGCTGTAAGCTTCCAGAGGATCAGGAGGAAACAAGCATCAGAGGTGATGGTTCTGACAGGGCTTACTAATGACTGACTACTAAACGTTGGGTTGCTTTTTGTAGGCCTCACACTGTAATTAGGTTTTAAACATGTTACATCCCTTGCCCATGGTACTTTGGGAATAAATACATTTCTTTTTGATGAAATCCTTTTATACTTTTTAGAGTAAGGCCCCACATACCTCACGACTTAGATGAGTTGCCAAAGTCTGTGAGTTTTGTTCTATTTCTGTTATCAAGACTGAAGAAAGATAAACATCTTAAAACGCTGATTTTTGCCCACTGAGGATTTGCATTTTTCCCTGGAGTAAGTTCTCTTTATTGACTTGTGAGGGGGAGTGATTCCAGGCCTAAATAAGAGAAAAACCTATGTTCACAGTTTAATGCTTTGAAGGATTTCTAGACTCCTAAATCTCCAATCCTAAACTGCTTCTTATACAGCATTTGGACAGCCCTTCCTAGGGGAGAACCAACAGACATTTTTTTAAAAAAGCCATTATTATTCTTTACCCATTCAGAGCCCTCCTGTGCTATGCTTTTTTTATTATTATATGTTTTTTAAACTTTTGCTGGTTGTTTTACACTGACTTACTTCTGTTGTGCTTTCAGGAGTTGCACTTCCTGTGAAAAGGGGTATAAAAATAATACTGATGCTCAGAGTTAAATAAACTTTTAGCTCAGACAGACTATAATATGTCCTTCTTCTTAGCTTACACAGTTCTGCCTATAGTTTGCAAGAAAATTTATAGTATGTAACAGTGCCTTGATGTCAGTGTGATGATTAAGCCGAGAATAATGATTTGTGCTGGAAACTTTAGATCTCAGTTTATCAGTCTGCTCCGTGGGAAAAGAGAGAGAAATTTACTAGTCTGTTGAGAGAAGCAGAAGATCAAAATGCTAGCAAAATAAAAATAACACACCTTGAAGTCATATATATATATATATATATATATACACAAATATATTTTCTGCTTTCATGCCATTGTTTATTTTTAAATTTCCATGTGTGAATTTACATTTAAAACTTACTTTCGTTATGTACTCTCAGTACTTGTGTTTTAGTACCAATACTAGGAAACTAGGATTAAAAAAAGCATACAAAGCGAGAATAATGATTTGTGCTGGAAACTTTAGATCTCAGTTTATCAGTCTGCTCCGTGGGAAAAGAGAGAGAAATTTACTAGTCTGTTGAGAGAAGCAGAAGATCAAAATGCTAGCAAAATAAAAATAACACACCTTGAAGTCATATATATATATATATATATAAATACACTGAAATATTATTACTGCTTTCATGCCATTGTTTATTCTTAAATTTCCATGTGTGAATTTACATTTAAAACTTACTTTCGTTATGTACTCTCAGTACTTGTGTTTTAGTACCAATACTAGGAAACTAGGATTAAAAAAAGCATACAAAGGGAAGTTACCACTAGAACAGCCTCCTCTCTGCTTATAATTTATTCTCAGTTTTGCAGAAAGCCATTTCTGAGCTGGATGTCTGAATCACCTGTTGAATCTTGCTGTGGTTCTGATCTCACCCAGAGCGGGTCTCTCCTGTTGTACCTCGCTGCAGGCTGACAATATGACCACCAGTGGTCAGGGCTGTCCGTGTCTCAGCTTCTTCTCACACTGACTATGAGTCTATGCTTCTGGCACTGTTGTGAAGAAATACAGGCTTGCTTTCTACCTCTCCTGAAAATTAACAAGCATCAGTTACTTCCACAATATGCCTTGGAAGGAGTCTACATGTTCATTTTATGAACGCTATAATTAGCTAATTTACAAAGGCTAGGGATGTGTGTGGTGACTATCCCACGGCAAAACTGCTCTTTCGGTGCATTTTTGAGGAAACTTACAGCTAAGAGTTGGCCTTTATTAGTAAAAGTTGGATACTGTATAATTTCACTCCTAACAGACTTTAAAGTAACTGGATCCATTGTTCTAATTTCCAGGTAAATTTGGGTCCAAGCTGTAAATATAGGTGTAACTTAGGAAATAATTTGAGTATTTGAATGTGCTTTGCTTTTTTCATTGCTCACATAAATCCTTCATACTAACTTGGCAATATTTCATTACCTCATTGTGCTTGTAACGCAGGAATCAAAGGGTCTTTACAAACAAGTAGCAAACCCTCACAGCTTCAGTTAATTTATTCACTCAAAGGACAGTTCATTATTTCTCCTCTGCATTATGTTTGCTGTTACAGAGAAGTTAATTCCTACTTTTTGAACATTTGATTTGTGAAGCTTGGGCTAACTGCATTTAAGTTACTCAGAAGATCCAGTAGCTCTCAGAAGAGGGTAGGTTACAGTGTAGAAACTGCTGTGTTGGTTTTGAAGTGGAATGTGTTGTGTCAAATAATACTTAACAATTCTCGATCATGGTTCCATGATCCTTCCTGTGGGTAAAATAATGAATTAAAGCCCTCTCATATTGCTACGGCAGCAATTTCTATCAGTATTTTACCCACAGGAGAGCGCTTTACATTGTTCAAAATGGTTGGTTGCAGGCTATTGTATGATTTGCACAATAAATTTCGGTTTATAACTCTGAGTGCAGGTATAGTAATGGTTTTTATAGTTACTGTGAGCAGATGTCTTGTGGTTGCATTGAGAGGGGGAAAAAAAACTGGCTCTGCTGTTTGAGTTGTGGAAAATATCTAATTTTCCCTGACTTTATCTTTGTTTGATTTTTGTCTTAAATTCAGTTACAGTACATATAATGACTTATCTCATGGGATAATAAAAAAGAACTGTGATTATTTCTTCTATGCATTAGATTTTTAGACATATCTTAAGCAGTTTGTCACTTTATGCCATACTTTGGTAACAGAATATTTCACTGTCATAAAAGAGGCTACTTTAATAAGCTGTAAATTATTGAGCTATACTGATCCCTAGAGTTTTTGGTTTATGTTCCCATCATGTAAATCCCTTTGACGCACTGGTATACGATGTGTTCTGCGCTCTAACCTTCTGTTCAATTGACTATTTTAGCATATCTTACCGCTGTCTGCACCAAGCGGTCCCTCAGCCGTGATTTCAAATTGCAAAGATCATTTTGCAGTTCAAAAGGCAATTCGTGCCAGTGGAGGGTTTCAAATATCAAAGGGACTTTTTAAAGAATACTTTCTCAAGTGGATTTGTGCTATTTGTAAGGGATTAAAATAATTCACTGTTTCTTTATTGAAAATTTGCCTTCTGTATTAGTTATCATCTCAGTTTCTAAGGCAGCAAAATAGGGAGTTTTTGATGTTGAATATTTGTCCAGAAATCCTTATCCTTACAGTAGTCAGAAAAACAATTACAGCTTCCTGGCCCCATTTAGTCACTTAGGGACCAACCAGTTGACTCGGTGCTAAATCTCGTGGCTCTATTTCATTGCTCTGTTCCTTGGCTTTGTTCTGAGATGACTCCACTAAAACCAGAGACATACAGTGGTGTGAACGTAATGGAGTCCAGTGATGAAACACCTTTAACCATCCGCCACTGTGAAGTAAATATCACTGTATTAGTCAATTATATTTTAACAAATGCTCTGCTCTGTAGAAGGAGACACTACAGACAGCAGCGACAATGACATTTGAATGTCTTGCAACACTGGTACTTTTTTATTTAACAAAACCATTGGATCTTTAGAGTGGTACTTCAGGGAGCTGTGCAGTATGTTCCTCTCTGTTCCCCCTCGACCCGTGGGGCTGGGCGCCTTCCCCAAGGCCTCTACCCCACATTGAAGGTGACAGTGCCCGACAGCCCTCCTCCTCGTCTGTGATCGTGGACTCTTGGAGTCCTTTAACCAAGGAGAGAAAGCTGTTCTTGCCAATCAGGTAGATGGTGAACCTCTAGTACAAAAAGAAATTCATATTTTAAAAGAAAGAAAAAACAATTTTTTTCATTATTCTTCATGACATAAATTGCCTATGTCAGAAGACTAAACCTTTTTCTATGAGATTCGCTGTTACCCTTCTTTAAACATACCTGTCATTTCACACTCACTTCTGCCAGATTAAACCTACACATTTCTGATTTCTAACACAGTAACCGTTTCCCTCTAAGTCATGCAGGTTGACATTTAATTTGCTGTTGGCAGAGAATCAGGTACTATTTCTCTGAGGTCCTGATGGGCCTGAAGCAAGATGAAAAATGTTACAGCACGAAGTGTGGGCGACAGTGGCGATGGTGTGGGGTGTGAGAAGGACGGAATGAAGGTGAAGGGTAAGAAAGGTGGCTTGCCTCTTCTCGTTTTCTGCACTGCCACAGAGCAACGCAGAAAAGCAAGAAGTCTTGCTCAGCTCCTGCTATCCACTCTCCCTTAAGCCAGCCCTATCTGGTCCTGTGGTGGGATTCAGTTTACTAACCTACCAGAAGACTCAGGTGGAAAAGGTGGTTGGTGAGCTGAAGTGTCATGCCGTGAAATTGGACTAGCAGCAGCGCTTGCTTAGGACTCTGTATGTGGGGAGAGAGAGGAGCAGGACAAATTCCTCGGTGGCTGCATTAGATCTTTTTCACTGCACCCTAAGCAGTATACACACTTTATTTCTTCTCTGCGTTAGTATTATGAAAGCACTTGATACAGCAGAATTTTCAACTGGAACATCCTGGATCATTTCAAGGGTTGCATACATCAGCATCTGAAGCAATGCGTGCGAGGGGTTGCTTAAGCTGTAAAGGGAAGATCTTAAAACACCTGGGATAAGGACGCTGGTGGCATGATTGGGGCAGGGTGGGGGTCGCAGTGGTGAGCCAAAGGTCATCACCAAACGTAGCAATATAATAATGTTAAATTTACGTACTCCTACAGACTGGCTCTGTGAAAGAAGCTATGGGTCAGATGAACTGTATGTCATATTATAGCCACTAATTTTCATGTCGCATCTTAATGATGAACTGCGTTGTTGTTTAAACTACTTTAAAACACTAAGTGCTTCATTTTCAGCTATTTGAGTAGCACTGCTCTAAAAGCAGAACACCCATTTGCCTTTCACTGATGTAACACGACCCTCGCTGTTACCATAATTCTCTGTGATTCAGCCTTTTTCCCCCTCCTTCCTTCTTTTGCTTTTTTGCACAAGATGATCGTTGTTTTCAAACACTTACTCTCTTCTCTGGGCAGCACGTCCTTTTCTTGCCAGCTTAAGCGTCGGGCATTTGCTCAGCAAGCAATTCCTCTTGCACTGACTAAAAACCAGGTCTGACCTGTAAGCAGTGCTGCTCTGTTGGCGTTTTTATCTTTGACAACACACTGCTCTATCTTAAAAAGGATAATGAGACCTTGCAAGGTGGCTGAGAGGACTGCTGCACTTTTACTGCTAATGAAATTGTAACGTGATTGAATTTATGCCAAAATCCCAGTGTGTTACGTAGGCTAGTTCAAAATAAGGAGATTAACAGAACTAGAACAGGGCTTGCTGTCTTGCACAGCTCCCGTGTGAAATTCTTTGCATTCTGAATCCCATTTTCTGGTATTCGCACTGCAGTGTGCATCACCCAGGTTTGTCAGGGGCACGTAGCAGGTAATGTTTTCAGTAGAAATGTATATCCCGTGTGCTATTTCTGTATAACCGCACAGACCAGGTCTTTCCCAGCTTTGTGAGAGAAGTGCAAAGATCTAGTCAGTTGTGTCCATACCGCAAAGCTCCAGTTGTTACCGAGGCTTTGGCCGTGTAGAATTAATTGGCAGAATACCCTGAATACGCTTACCCTCCCTCCCCCAAAATGGGACCCGTGACCCTTCCGATACGAGGGGCTCTGCTGTCCCTGATGGCAGGAGCCTTCCGGCTGGGGCAGGCCACAGCGCTCCCGAGAGCGTACTGCCCAGGTCCCAGAGGTCCGAGTGGCTGTGGGGCAGGGAGCGGCACGCTGCAGGCCCCCCTCGGGCTTTTAACTGTCTGGAGCTGGCTGCCAGACTGCAGGATCGAAGTCATCCAGGCACCTTGAAAATCCCAGCTCAGTATGTCCTAACAGGTTCTTTCTAAAACACAGTCCTTATGACGTGGTTTCCAACAAACTCCGCTACCACATGGGATACCTTTCTCAGCTGTATTTTGGCTGTGCAGATTTTGTTTCAGCAAATCATCGCGTTCACTTGTTCTGTAATGAATCCCAAGTGATCTGACAGTCAAGTACATCTACAAAGTCAAACCTTATTTTCCTGTATAGACTTCTATTTATGCTTGTATTTGAAAAATGTAGTGCTAAAAGTGTATTTAAGTGTTTCACCAATTACTCATGAGTTTTAAATGAAAGAGGTCTGCTGGAATAACTAAAGCCAATGCGTTTGTAAAGTATGAAGTACTAGATGTCAAAATACTTCATATTGTAGCAAACTTCATGCCATGGGCAGTAATGTGAATGATGTACAGGAGTACATGAGTAATGTGAATGATAATGCAGAGATGTCATGAAGAGAATCGCGTGCTTTCACAAGCCTGAAAGCTTTCCCCACTCAAATTTCTAAAATAACAAAAAAGGACGGTTTCATCGACTATATTTTTCCTTACTGCAAAGTAACTTGAGCAAAATCTTCAAGTTACTTTGGGGTTTGTTTCATTTATGGGAAGAAAATGACAAGCATTACAGTGACTGGTTACAAATAAGCAGATTCAGATTGTTCACTTAGGCCAGTATTAGTAATTCTTGAAGATCTTTTCAGTTGGGACGCACTGTAAATAGCTTGCAGGGAAGGGTGGAAGTTGGTTGATCGGGGTGGGGGTTGAAGAAAGTGCCCTGGGTCTGAGCGTGTGAACTCATGTGTGTGATTTCCTTCTTCCAGTTTGAACAGGAGAACCAGAGACTCGTTGGTGAAATGAATAATCTCTTCGATGAAGTCAGGTACGATTCTCCGTTACTTGACAGACTGCTGTGCATGCTGGTCCCATAACCGGACAACACCCACACAGAGTCAATTTGCTGCAGGACAGCCGGCTGCGTGAATTGCGGTGTGGTAGAAGGAGGGACGAAATAGGAGCGCCCAGGAAACGAACTGTATGAGTTTACACGCTGTGCTGTCCCACAGTGTAAAGAATGGTTCTGAGTGACCCACAAACTATCCAAAATAGTACTGGTCAAATTTGGAAGGTTTACGTTCTATCTCACTTACCTAAGTTTTAAAAATGAAGTTTTCCATTCATGCCGCGTTGTCCGCTGCATACACAGATGGCAGTAGGGGAGGTGCCATCGCTGACCCCCGTGCAGACACCTGCCTGTCTTTATGGCAGCGCGGCGGTGCCGTCTGCTCTCCGCTTCTTGTGCAGAAAACCTGAGTGGCTAACTCAAGCTAGAACTTTACTTTTGGATTATTAGTACTAGGCAAGGTGAATTCCGCACTTCACAGTAGCATATAAAAAGGACAAGTCAGAATTAAGTACTTAGGGTCCACCGTGGATTTTGTTGTATTAGATAAAGAAGGAAGATATACAAGGCCCTCGCAGTGAAGGCCGCTAGCCGGGAACTTCCGGGTGGTGCCCTTCCAGAGCTCCACTGTGGGCTGGTCGTCTTCCCACCGCGAACTGGCAGAGCACTAGTCACAGCCTACTGCTGCGTAACAGGCGGCTGACAGAATAGCCGGGCCCTTTGAATAGCCCGCTTACCGGGCTGGAGAATCTCAATCTGCAGGAGCAAGAAATGTTTGCACTAGTTTCTAATGGAGTCTTTCCGTTCTTTGCCAAGACAAATTGAAGGAAAAGTGGTGGAAATCTCCAGATTACAAGAGATATTCACTGAAAAAGTCTTGCAACAGGTTAGTATAATTTCATACTACAGCAGCAAATACAGCTTGAAGATTTTCTTGGGGGTGTTTTGGTCTTGGTTGCATGCAAGCTGCAAACGTTAAGATTAATCAATCTTTGACACAAATGCGATGGAAAAGATTTTTCTGTTTGTTTTTCAAATGCAAAATCCATTTATTTACTGTTGGCTACTTATTAGTACGTACTGGGAATGGAAGATGCAACGTGTTAGAATGATGCCTCTGCCTCAGAACTGGTGTCCTGTTAAATGTGTTATTTAATAGCATCTTTTCTGTAAATGGTGGCACCTCTTCCAAAAGAGCTGGCAAAAATTAGATTAAATTTGATTCTAGATAAATGGGAAACTTGCTCTTGATCTTGGCGGTCTCTGTTCAGGCTCATAAAATCACAGGTAAAAAAATGGCAACTTAATTTCCTCTATACCTTTGCATCATTGAAACGAAGATGTTAATAATACTAGGTTTTATGAGTTCTGCTTGTTCTCCAAATCCTTAGAAGTGTTTTTTTTCCTAAAATTTATCACTGTTTCTCAATTATTTTTTTTTTAACAGGAGACGGATATTGACAATATCCATCAACTAGTTGTGGGTGCAACAGAGAATATCAAAGAAGGCAACGAAGACATAAGAGAGGTAATGTCTCTAAGTTGTGTTTTAAACTCAACTTGTTTCTCTTAACTTTCAGTTTTGCCCAAGTGTTGCTTTCAACAGCACGTACGAGCTCACCCAGGGTACAGGTGCAGCTGTGTTGGGGTGTCAGGGCATGATTCTGGAATGTTAAGGTTCTTAAGAGTTCGCAATGCTTGTCTCGCTAACTGTGATTTGAATAGCTATACAGGTCTGCAGAAATCTACTTGGCCTCACCTGGTTTTTGTTTAAGCACCTGTGAAGTTTATTTAAAGAAAAGGGGGGGTGGAATTGCAGACTAAGAATGAAAGATGGTGCTGAAATTGTTGAAACGAGTTAAATGCTGAGCATTAGCAGAAGAGTCTCTTTACCATGCTGAACGCATCTCACATGCTCCCAGTAAACAAGTCTATCCCATTGTCTTACTAATTAGAATGCAAGGATGTTTTCTTTCAGGAATGGAGATTTCAGTAAAAACAGAGTTCCTAAATTAGGCCACTGAGGAAATGGCTCAGTTCTTTTTTTTTCTCCCTCCTGAAAGCACACAGAATGTGTAACTCAAGGAGGATGAGTTATCTACTGCTCAGCTCTCCTGAAAAGTGCATCAAACGCACATGAGCAAGCGTAACTTAGGGACTCCAAATTTCTGATTTGGAACTTACTCCCACATTTCTTCAAGTAGAGTAGAATATCTGGAGTGTTCTTTTCAGTAGCTGTCCAACAGGCATGGTGGTATGGCACATGGTGGGGAAGACGTTTGGTGTCTTAAAGAATTAAATCAATAGAAGTACTAATATTTAGCATACAGTAACTATGCCTTTAAATTGGGATTCTTAAGCGCTTTAGATAGGACGCCTGGGGAGGGTACAGGGATGTCAGCCGACTGTCCCGGTGTTCATAGTTAGAGATCAGTATTCAGCAGCATGGCATGAACTGAAGTTATTTTTGCTTAATTTTTCACATTTGTAGGTAGAACTAAGATTCCTAAACCACAATGAGAAACAGTAGAAAAAGGTGATAAATACAAACCTTCGTCACTCACATTAACGTTTGCATTGCATAAAAAAACCCTATTCCATGTGTAAATCTGAAAAATGAGAGAGAGAAACAGGTCCCCTGCTACCTGCCGGTCTGTTTTGGGAAGGAGAATCCAAGAAACAGACCGGCAGTACCTGCTCCTTGCTCTACTTGTTCTGAGACTGAAGTAAGTGATTGACAGTGCGAAATCAACCTCCAGCAATAGTTGTCAGGTTTTGGGTTGGTTGGTTTTCTTTTAGTCAGATGTTTATTAGAATGATGAAGGCCTGATTATTTCTAATCACAGAATTTCACTTTTGGAACTTAAAAGTAACCTTGAAGCATGTACATTTTGATGTCGTTCCTAATGTTTGGGGTATATTTCCACTGTGTGGGATCTTAGGGGTTTTTTTGTTGTGTTTTGTTTTTTTTAAATGACCAATTTTAAGATTTTTGAGAGAAACTTTAGTGTGATAAGTCTAAAGAGATAAGCCAACCTGGCTTTTATTCACCTGAAATTAAAGGCAAGTTTTGTTCTTTCTCTTATGGGAGGGAAGAGCGAAGCCACTAATGGTCATCTCGGGTTGCCACTGTTGAAATTCTACTGCGTGTGTACTGGTGATGGTAATGGAGATAACCTTTTCCCCACAGGCAATCAAAAACAATGCTGGATTTAGAGTATGGATCCTATTCTTCCTTGTGATGTGTTCGTTTTCCTTGCTTTTCCTGGACTGGTATGATAATTAATTAGAAATATAGTATTGTCTACATGCTTTGTCTGTAAAACTTTTGACTTTTTTTTCAATGGAGTGGGGTATATGGCATACCGCTGTATTTTATGCATTTTTTCATACCGCTATGATGGAAGTATTTCCCAATGAATAAGCATGTGTATATATCCATTAGTGCAGAGGGAGCGGCTAGCATTCATTTTAAATCCCTTTATCGAACGTAAAACCACACCTGATCCTGCGAAGAACATAGAAACCTTTGAAAGAGCTGGTAAGAAAGCTACAAGCTGGAGCACAGCTAACAGAAGAAGGAAAAAAACGATAATGGTTTTATCAGTGTCACCCGCGCATCTGTGATGTTTAAAGTCCAGCTCCCAGTGTGCAGAGCAGATCAAGAGAAAACTCTTCCTGCGCAAAAGCGTCTACGCTCTCTCAGGCTTTTATTTAATCATACCACTTCAGGACACAGCGACCATTTTGCACACGGATGACCTCTACTTCTGATCCTTTGAAACTACTCGAGTCAGAGATCAGGTTGCTTTAATAGTAGTAATAATGATAAGTCAACTAAAGAGCTTTACTTCTAGGTGAAAAGAGAGAATGCAACACAGGCAGACAGAGCAGCGAAAGAGATGCTCTGGGATGTCAGAACAAAGCCAAAGGATAGATAGTGTTAAAGCCAAACTCTTCAAGTACTTAAATTGGGAGCAATTTGTTAACTAAAAAAAGTCTCAAAACCAACTGTAACTAAGAATCAGTAAACTCCCTCCTGTTAAATCAGAGGAAAAAATGGTTTTGACTTCAAGAAGCATAAGCGATCTGTTTCTCCTAGATCGTAAAGCTTAGTATTTTTTTAATGTTTATTGTTATGAGAGAGAGAGAAATAAGTTGTTTCTCATCAGTAATTTACTTGTGCATTAAAGGTTTTTTTTATTTTATTTTTATTGTCCTAAATTTAAGGGGAGGAGATGTATCATGAGTCATTTCTATGTAGGACAGTCTTGGGGAACAGATGTTTCCCTCTTGTAAAATCCGAATGTCCTCTGTCAATATGTTGGTATCAACTGTGTGTTTTGGTAGCTCTCTTCTGAAATGTGTATTTCTATACATTATACACAACAAGCAGCAGCATCCTTATTCTTTACTCTGCACAGAGTGAAAATGTCAAAAGTTACATATGAATTAATTACATTCAGTGAAGCATATGCCTGTTTGGAATATCTTAACATAAGCTTGGAATTTTTAAATGCAAAGAAAAATTTGGCACATCATTTATTGCTTTTTATGCACTCCACATACCCTACTGCCTTAATAAAAAGCCTTCTACAGCTGTGCTGAGTAATGCACATTTCGTATCAAAACTAGAGAATTAAGTAATAATGGTTATTTTTACTGTATTGGGAAGAAAGGTGGTTGATAAAGCAATTCTACTGGAGAAAAATAAAAGTAGCGCTGACCATGTTTGTTCTACTACAGATCTTGAGAAAGGCTGCTGTCTTCCCTTCGTTTTTGTATAGTCTCTACCAAAAAAAGGAACTTTTGACATGTCCACTACGCCTTGTCCCATTCAGGTTACGTGAACAGAAAGGTCACTTGCTTGCCCAGATGCTTCACACACTTATTTTGTCTAACTGTTAAATTAATAAGATGTCTTTTTTGTAATATGTATTTAAGATTTATAATAAAAATGAAAACATGGTTTCACACAAAGAATAGATAAGTTTGTAATTACAATGGAACTTTAACGTGCATCCACAATACTATGTTCTTCTACATCTTTTCCCCTCCCAAGCCATACATAAACATTTCTACTCTTCACTGTTTCACACGTAGCCTTAAAACAGCCAGTTGTGTTATCTAGTACGCTATTGTTTCACTTATGATGCTCTGTGTTCTAAAAAGTATCAAGCTGCAAACCATACATAAACTGAAAGGTCCTAATTAATAAAAAGGGAAAATATTAAGGTAATAAAAGAGAAAACTTAGAGACGTTACTCCCTCAGTTGTATCCACCAAATTACACAGATGTAGTGGACTACATCTACTGTGAACAGGCTTTCTGCCTCTTAAGTATGATGAAAAGATGTCATTTCTCATTAGAACATCCTGAACTGTGTATTTCTTACACTATCCTCCGCATCCATCACTAAAACTGTCTGTGTTTTTCCATAATGTCTATCTAGTTTGTGTTCCAGTGCACATCCTTATCAAGATGCTAAAGCCACAGTGGAAATGCAGTTAAATCCTGTTGACAGCAATAATAAAACATTGAGCATGCCGTGTTGCAGAGAACTTCATTATCACTTACAAATAAATAATAACAGTAAAGAAAAACGTAAGGAAAGTGCTACCTGACAGTTTCTTTCTCCATACAAGTCGTTACATTATGCCCTTGACATCAATGCTGACTATCTTGCTTGAGCCAAAACTAAATACTAAATACAGCTTTCAGCTAAACAAGAGATCACTCTAGTTATGGCTGGGGTGTTTCAGTTTGCAAAATGACAGAGTAAAAAAATTAATAAATAAAGTATCAGTTCAGACAACAGAACACATGATTTATCTAAGGTCCAAGCCCTGAAAATCCAGTGAAGAAATCTGTCAGTATCCAATAAACTGCAAGAACATATCTAACATTGGATTTTTTTTAACATTGAAAATGGTGTCAAAGCTCTAAAGCAATGCTGATATGCACCTTGTTTTATGCCCATGAATGTTCTGCAGCAAGTTTTTGGTTTTTTTTCTTTTTGCAAAGCGGTATCAGCAAACGGAAGCAATTGCACCATAAACATGAGTAACCTCTAAATTATCCATAATTATATTTAATGAAAAGTTCCTTAAAGTCCCTTAGTTACCTTCAAATGACATAGTGTTAACAATTAGCTTATCATACTAAGCTGATTTCTCAGCGGCTTCAGTCTCCTGTTCAGATAGTTTCTCTTCTGACAGTACTGTCATCCACGGGGACACTGAGCGCGTGATGGTTTGTTTGGCCAGATTGTAGTGGTTTATGACTGTGTAAAATTTCCCTCGAGCACTGGAGTCTTGTTCAGAGTAGTAGTTTTCCAACCCAGCTGGAATGCACTGATTATTCTGAAAAGAAAATCCATCACTTAGATTACAGATACGGTCCCATACACACCAAAAGTAGGTTAGTTTTTTTCTTTTCCGTTTAGTCTAAGCCAACGTTCACTTTCTGGGAGTCAAGATGCAACATACAGCAATTAACTACAGCGTTGTCCTACTGTGCTCAAAATGTTCTCCCCTGCAATCCTTAAACTACTCGTGCGTTTGCCAGGAAGACCAATCTGGGTTTATATGCCAGGATTATTAACACACAAGAAACCTGCTTGCCTATAATTATTTTTAAAAGTACTCAATCTCTAGTTCCAGCTGTATTTTGCTGTTTTTTCCTCCCCACCTTGTTCCAACTGTCTGGTCTACAATTACTCACGTCTGTTATTCTACCGTTAGATTAGCTTCAGGCACTTTAATACCGTGTTTTCAGGCTAAGGGACAGAAATTAATACAGATATATTGGTGCCAAGGTATGAACAGTTTTATAGCCCAGTAAATAAGACACAGAAGGAAAACACTGTGGGTGGCCAAGCTTATGTGCAAGTGTGTACACACATACAAAATACTTCACTCTTGACTGTCAGAAAGATGTAGCCAACAGCAGGCTTTTAAAAAGCTATCTTTAGCTGTGGGACCACGTTATTTAATTTCCCAGAAGCGTAAGAGCACTACACAGAGGATGCTAGATGCTCAGAGCTTCTGAAAGTGAAATACCCGATTTAGAGAGATAAACACCAAGTAGGATACAAACTTTGCTGTCATCTTAAAAACCAAAGTGAACATGCACCTGCAGTGCATTAGTCAGCAGGTATCACCTAGCAGCCGTTCCAGCCGTTCCAGTGATGACGCAGTAAAAGCCTATGAAGCAGCTAGTTGCGCTGAAGGAAAAAACAATTTAGACACATCCTGTGACACCCCCCCCCAGGTTTTGCTCCAGCAGGTCACAGGTCTCTCCGCAGGTCCTCTGCCATATCTGCCAGTCCAGGCAGTCTGGCCTGATACTTCAGAGTGTCGGGGCAGTCATCGGGGCAACTGAACCGACCCTCTAAAATAGAAGCTATGAGTAGCTGCAGCCTGAGGAAAGATAAGTTTAATCATTTCTACTCTGACTGTTTTAAGAAGAAATAGGCTGTTTGGTCTTCCTGCTTCCAGCACCGGAAGACTAGAATTTGTAATACTACAGCACAGCAACTTTGAACTGCTACTGTCCTCATAGAACTTGGCAAACGAAACCTAATACTGGAAATTTCTGAGCACAAAAACACATGCAAAAATGTCACAGTTTTTAGGACCAGATGCTATCTATCTCAAACGTGTCCACATTTACTTTTGCGTTGACCCTTGTCAAAAAAAAAAAAAAAAAAAGAAGTGGCATAAGCAAGCACCAGTAACAACAGTTTCAAATGGTTTAAATGGCAAAGCACAGAATGATTGCGGGAAAAATCCCACAGTCTTGGTTTAATATGAATTTTGCATCCTAAAGATGTTAGAGTGAAAAAAAGCATCAAAAGGTATGAAAGAAAAAAGCAAGACTTGCCAAAACAATAGGCCTACAGGTAGTCTTATGAACCTGCCTGCCACTGATGAATATAATCTTGTGGCAAATTTGACTGCTGAAAGAAGACTCGCTGTCACAAGACTAACAGTTCTCCCACGGAGTTAACACCTCATCGGTTCTAACCTGCTTGGGTGACGGAAGCCTCGATGTGTGTCAGACTCGCAACAGTGCTCAAAGTTACCACATCCACCCAGGATCGGTTTGTTTGTTATCTTTTGTTAACGTAGCAGCCAGGGCGCATCTTCCCTCAGAGTTTTGTTTGAAGTAGCACTACAAAGCAGACGGGATTTAAGCCCAGCTAAGCAGACACTTGTGCCTATTCAGCACTGTTTAAGTCAAGGGAGGTTTCCCCATGGTCATAATCACCGTATAGGTCAGCTGCAAGACCAGGACCTAGGTTTAACAAAAAAACAATCCAGGACAACTCTGGAGTAAAGCTGTTTGATATGCATGTTCACCTACATCAACCACGCCATCTTCTGGAAGTATTATCCATGCTTTATCTGGGATAACTGACACTACTTCTGATTGTGATAAAATGATGAAGAAGTATGTAGACACAGACATCTTTGTAGTGGTTATT